TGAGTTCCTAAATCAGATCCAAATACAAACTGTGAAAGAGAGGGTTCTACAAAACAACGTTTTAGAATACTGCCCTAGAATCCCCCCCCCCACAAACCCTTTGAGAAAAAGCAGCCCTATGGAACACCTAGATCTGTTAACAAAAAGAAGTGCTCTATGGAATGCATGTAGACCGATATTCCGAGAAATAGCTGTACTACCCTATTGTCAGGTGTATAAGCCGCACTTTACCAAATTTTCCCACGAGCTGCTCAGCCGCTTCATTGTGTTTCGAAAAGCGATTCTTATACCTCACGTTTTATTCAGGCAATACGCAGCATAGTGTAGGGCCCTTTGGTTGCGAGGTCCTTTGATGTATTCGGACTGGTCGATGTAAGCTGGGACCACCCCGCGGCTTATACACCTGAAAATAGGGTACTGATCCCCACAGACCATAATGAAAAAAAGTGCCCTATGAGGAACCCGCAGCCGTCATTGTAAGTAAGAAGTGCCCTATGAAAATACAAATTGTACTTCCTAGCAGCTCCTTACGGATTATCTGCTCTATGAAAAGCCAAAAACAAGAATTTTGAGAAAAAATAAAGGCTCACAGCTGCTTAGAGACCCAAGAACTGCCCTGCGAGCCATTCACAAATCGATTTCGAAAAAGAACAAACTGTCCTCATAAACATCATCGACCTTTTTAAACGCCTAGACAACCATGGATACTTAGGAGGAAGATGTGAACAGATTACAACATTTACATGAACAGTAAGCATCACTACAGCATGTCGAAAATCAAACTGGCGGGGCGCCAGTGCAAAAAGCGAAGCAACAGTTCAATACCCGTCACCGCAGAGTTCGAACTTGCGAAAGAGGGGGGGGGGTACTTGTTAGCAACCTTACGAGAGTGTCGGCACCTCCCCAAACTATGGCCTTTAGTAGTCGCAGCCCTTTAAATTCCTCGGGGTGGAACGATGCTCACCCCCTACGAAAACACTCTAGCCTTGTAAATAAATCTGTGCCCTCCGCACCCTCCGCAATCACTCGCCTCAGTCTGCAACTTGTCAACATGTAAGCGCAAAACCTTGCCATTCTTTATTATAGAGATTGAAGGAATAAGATGGTTTCAGTTCAGTTGAAGTCGAGTTGCTCTTGTAAAAACGATTCGAACTATACGGAAGCTGGATTGTCTATTGCACTTTTTTGGTCATGCCACTTGATCAACATCATCTGAGACAGACATCACTGCCTCTATGAGTCATCAGCTTGGTACGCTTGCACCGGCACAGAACGACGGTCGGATGTTTACACCTTTAGCGCGCGATGACGTCAGATGGGGGTGCTTGCGCTCTTTGGACTGGTACTATATATAAAGCGTTGTGAAGGTTGCGACACGACTGGTTGCGTGTGAAGTGGGTTGTGATTAAAAGTTAGAACTTTCGAAGATTTGTAGCGAACTGTTCCTCGCTAAAAGTATGGTACAGATTTATAAACGTAACGACTTCAAAGCTTACCAATTCATGAATTTTTCCTGCGTTAAAATTTCGGGGATTTTTTCATCAAAAGTAGCAACAGAATTATGACTGCCCCTCCCAACTTCTCCTAGCCGCGTCGCTCCTTCCTTTGCCCTCAGTTACTCGTTGTATAGCGTTTTGCTATCCAAATTCCACCCCCCCCCTTCTCCCCCTCCCCTCCCCTCCCCCCCCCACTCTCAGCTTTTTTTCACCCAGAAGCAAGCACTCGTCCCACACCCAACAAAGCTTTATCAGTCACGGCACTCTTCCTACCCGGGCTCTGTTTCCCACACTGAATGATCTCCAATGCTGCCTTAGAACCTCCACTCCCCCAAAAGTTCTTGCTCAGACTACTCTTATCTCTTTCAAACTAAGTTAGCGAGAAAAGTCGAATTAACATTCTTGAAAATATTTAGCCAACATCCAAACTACCAAATCTAAAGTTTCTCAAATTCAAACGCTTCGTTCCCTCCTTCTTTTCACAAAGTGTCCTTTTGGGAAGCGTCGCAATTCCTCTTCTACTTCAAGAAATTTTACCAATCGGGTTTCATAAGACTTTTTATACTGCCCAACATCCTTGCAACATCCATAGGTGTTCAATCTACTTAATTTTTAGGTTATCTTATTGATAGCAAGCTACTGATTCAAACTCTTGAAGAAACCTACTCAAAGGTATTTATGCTTCTTGCTGCTCTCCTAAACCTCCGCTCCTTATGCAATTTTGAGGCTGTGCGATATCCACATTTGAGGTGCATAGAGCACATAAAAGCTGTTCTGGATAGACTGTTTAGAACTTTTTCGAAAATGCATTAGCAGAGAACTTTTAGAAAAATTTTCATACATTGTTTGTAGAAAAATTACCCACCAAATCAGTACAAAGGCATGTAAGATCAAGGCGGCTTCAAAAAGCGCGAATTTTTTTGAAATATATTTGAGAGGCAAAGTGATAACTATGGTGGACTAAAATGCACTCTTCGGCACTTTTTGAGTATGTTTGTGAATACCTGTTGAATGGCATGTTACAATTTTTAGAGATTACATCTTAAGAATGTAAACATCTTAAGAATTCGTATCAGTCACTGATCTCTTGCACAGAGTCAACAAAACAAAGTGACGCACTGTCCAACAAAGTGTTGCACGATTAAAACTGTAATCAAATTATTGCTAAAAGACACAGGATAAAATTGCTTTTGAGTGAGCAGATCAGTGTCGGCAATACTGAAAAGTAAAACAATTGAAATTCTAAAGAATGCAACTGTTTTGCTGAAATACCTGACATTTTTTTGAATGACATAGGCATTCCAAACGAAGTGCTTCTAAAAAAAATCATTGACATAAATTGTCTGAGAAAACTTGAAATACTTGTGAGGAATTTTCAGAAACATTTAGTGCACTTTGTCTGAGATAAAGACATTTACTAAGCATTTCATGAAAGAATTGGAGAACTTCAATTTTCTTGCTGTATATGTTAAGAGGAAAAATTAGAAGGCAGAATAAATCCTTCGAATAAAGATTTGGCCAAGAAATTTCGGGTGAGGGAACATATCGAGCACTCAAGAAATGAAATATGGGAAACCGCAATATTTTGCTGAAGTATCTGAAATTTTGAAAAACTTATGGTGCATTACAAGTTATACGCTCCAGTGTGGAAAGAGATAAGTTTGAGATATCAAAAAAAAACAATTAAAATTGATCTTCTAGCAACAATTTCGGCGACACTTGAAACAGAGAAAATGCTTTTCATATGACGGGTGTAAAGGAGTTCGTGCTTAAATCAAAGGAATGAAAAACAAACTTCAAAAACGGATTCGATGCAATTTTCTATGCGAACTTATAGAGCTTTTGGAATTGAACTATTATTCATGAATCATCCTAATATGGCGCTTCTTGCACAGTTGTGGGACGAAAGAATGTAAATTTTTCATTCATGGAATTTTATTTTGTATCTAGGTTTGCAATCTAGTAATAGTGAAGAAATGTGGAGGTTTAAGAAAAATTGTAAACTAATCTGTTCCGCTGTAATCGAAGTCGAGTTGCTTTTGTAAAGCGATTCGAACTATACGAAAGATTGGCTTGTCTATGACTGCACTTTTTTGGTCATGCCACTTGATCAACATCATCTGAGACAGACATCACTGCCTCTATGAGTCATCAGCTTGGTACGCTTGCACCGGCACAGAACGACGGTCGGATGTTTACACCCCTGTCGCGAGCGATGACGTCAGATGGGGGTGCTTGCGCTTTATATATAGTATGATGATATGATGGTGGTCAAAGTTCTGTCATTTCATCTTCAAAAATTTGTAGCTTTGCGCTATTCCAGAGGGTATGCTTGCTTGTACTCAGACAATCGACGGGACCCCTCCGCCGGACAGTCCGAAACTGCCAGAGTCGCGCCGGACCCAGTTGACCAATGAGAGAGGGGCAAATGGGCGGTCCATCGCGGTGACATCACTGGCAGGCAAGTGGGAGGCTTCTCCGGCCCTGCTGCAAAGGTCCGCCATTTCTCCGGCGCGACTCTGCCAGATTTGGCGGACTCCGCGCCGGAGAAATTTGCCCGGCGCGAGTCCGCCAAATTTGGAAGAGCCGCGCCGGAGAAAATGGGAGGGGTCCGGAGCAGAAATGGGAGGCCTCCGGAGCAGAAAATGGGAGGTATCCGGAGCAGAAAATGGGAGGTATCCGGAGCAGAAATTGGGAGGTATCCGCCGGAGAAATGGGAGGTATCCGGAGCAGAAAATGGAAGGTATCCGGAGCAGGCTGCGTATCGATTTGGCGCGTAGCAAGAAAACGTCTAACTCCACGGTGATGAGTCCTCTGTTTACGCTCTTTGTCCATATTTTAGTCGCCGTTTCTTTGATTTTGTTGTTTTTGCGCGTTTCTTTACCGTTTTTTTCTTTTCCGCGTTGCTCTTTGTCGCGTTGGCGTTTATGTTGTTGTAAGTTCCTCGTTTTCAGGTTTATGTTTCAAATTTTCGTGCTGTTGCACTCAATCACCTTCAGTGTTTGGCTCTTTCCGACTTGCTGAGACATCGTAGACTATTGATGGAGTGGTTTTTGTGATTAATTCTGGATTTTCGAAACAATGAGGTTAGTTGCGCAACTATCTAGTGTTGTTGTGATGAAAGTATCGTCTAAATTATCCGTTTATTGCTATCTCTCTCGTACGTATGCTTACCAAGTCGATCGACTTTTCATCAGACGTTGCAGATCCTCACTATATCGTTTTTGGCTTGAAAGACAGGACAAGGCAAGAGATATGTTGACAAAAGTCTTAGAGGCAACTCCAAACGATGTTGAAGTTTTGATAGATCTTGCTCAGCTTCTGGAAGGAGTTGATCCGCATGTTAGTTTACATCATCAATTACATTTTACGAGTTTTGACAACCGGCTCTTCTAGAAATCGCTCACTCTCTATGAAAATGCTTGTGATCTCATAAAAACGAGTGAAGATGGTTTACAAATTGATCCGCCAACTGCTATCTTAAACAATATCGGAGCCTTGCACATGACTTTGGAAAATTATGAAAGGGCGAAGGAGTACTTCGAAGCAGCGGAAGCTAAGCTCCAAGTAAGTTGCATGTGCTTAGCTTCGCTCATTCTCTTCGATCGTTACAGGAAGATTTGGAGGGAGATCTGTGCGATTCGAAACTTTCTTCCTATGTCATCACTATGAGATACAACCTCGCTAGATGTTTGGAACACTTGTGCTTGTTCGAAGACGCTGAAGTTTTATACAAAGGCATTTTGAGAGAAGAAGAAAATTACACGGATTGTAAGTTTTTTCAAATTAACATTCTGTGCACTCATTCTAGTGCATCATATTGCAAAGGTTATCTACGTCTCGGATGTCTTGCGCGCGATCGAGGGCAGATTTATGAATCATCGGTGTGGTTCAAAGAAGCGATATCCGTTACTGTTGTATAAACCTCGACACGATACCCAATTGACATCGTGCGTCAAAAATGCGTACTTGATGTAAAGGCGGTGTACACTACTTACCTCAACCTGTAATTAATATTTTTTCAACTTGTACTTCCTCCCCATCTCTCTGGAGTTGGGAAAATGACTGAAGAAAGTATTGGTAAAACTGATTGATTTTAATTATCACTACTCGCTGTGCTGAAATCTTATATCGTGAGGGTTATTTATCATGCTGATTCCAAAAATGGTACTCATTTTGCTTGATAGCCGTTCATCGATTCCCCATAGCTAAGTTTGGAGTTATTTGATGTGCCAAGTGGAAGTGCAGGTCAGAGGTAAGGAGGCTGTCTCTCCAGATTACTCACGTGATTACCGATGTTTCTAGATTGCCTATTCCAATTACTTTTATCACTTCTGACATTCACTGGGCTTTCGATGCTATCGTAGGTTCGAGCGCGTAAGAGGTAATGTATGATGTTTGGTAAATTTTTTTCAAACTAATCTATCAAATTGAAGGTATTTTTATGACTTGGAAACTCGGAAGAGCAAGTTCTACCATTGTTTAGACATTATGTGCACAGCAGTCTCGAGTCTCCCATTCATAGAATAGATGATATGCGAAATGAGTATCATCTTTTAACTTGTGCAAAACAAACTAAACAGAATCTAAGCGATTCTGTTCAGTAACGGGCAGCTGCTGCAGCTAAAATAAACGACTATCGAGCAAAATGAGTACCATTTTCGGAATCAGCATGATAAATAACCCTCACGATATAAGATTTCAGCACGAGTAGTGATAATTAAAATCAATCAGTTCTACCAATACTTTCTTCAGTCATTTTCCCAACTCTAGAGAGATGGGGAGGAAGTACAAGTTGAAAAAATATTAATTACAGGTTGAGGTAAGTAGTGTACGCTGTATTTACATCAATTACGCATTTTTGACGCACGATGTCAATTGGGTATCGTGTCGAGGTCTATACGACAGTATGTCCGTTGATCAGAACATTGCCGATTCATGGGTGCTTATCGGAAATCTGCACATGTCTAAACATGAGTGAGTAATGAGCTTTGTTTTGCTTCTGTCTGATCAATCTTCTCACAGATGGGGACCTGGTCAAAAGAAATTTGAACAAGTGTTGAATAAGATGGATAAGGAAGATGCTTACTCATGGGTCTCACTTGGCAACGTCTGGATGGAGATGCTCTTTAATGGGCAGAAAAAAGACTGACGACCGTGTAAGTACTGTACCATCGTACGATTGTTCTTCTGCGATTATAAGAACCCCCAAGCGTTTTTCTCCTTGATTTTCACGTCTTTCCTGAACAGTCATCATTACAGACCCAAGAAGGGAAGTACATGGATAGAGCTCTACAGATGTTTGGTAAAGCGTTGAAAATTGAGCCAAAAAACATCTGGGCAGCAAATGGAATAGGTACGTTTCGTATCGGAACAAATGACTAATTTTCTACTTCTTTTTCGATCAAAAACCGTATGTTTTGGTTTAGGCTGCGTATTAGCATCGAAAGCAATGTGGCAAGATGCCCGTGACATCTTCGCTCAAGTTCGTGAAGCTACCTCGGAATTCGAAGATGTTTGGATGAATATAGCTCATGTATATATCGAACTTGGACAATATGTCCCTGCTTTGCAAATGTGAGTTTATGGCGTTCCTCGCTGTTTTGTTTCATGTTGCACAGAATGCTTTTTTGATCTTTTTGTCATTTTCTTACCATGTTAAAACCATATGCTTATACTGTGGTGTTACAAGGTTCTTTTTGCAACTAGGAAATTAGCTTTTCTTTGAATATTCTTATCTCTAACTCCTAGTATGGTTTCTGTAATATGAATTAACTGTTGTACGTATGCCGGAGATAGATAGATAGATTTTTCGAAAGTTTGAAAAATTGGAAATAAATGTCTTATCTCTTCGTTCTTTCTTCTATCTTCTATCCACAAACGCTAGGGGTGAGAGGGAGGGGGTAGAGTACGGGGTGAGGGTCGCGCTAAACTCCTACCCGGGGAGGGGGTCCTATTCGGTTTATTTGGGTGGGGTTTAGAGACAAAATTGGGGTTTGGAGCTTAAAGGCAGCGTCCAGGCAAGTTTGGACCTATGGGGATTTTACATGGAAAGTACTTTTGGGGCCCTAACTAAGCCACTACCCAACCGGCAGCTCAAGTAGTGCTCTAACGCCTGAGATATCCTGCTCGAAACCGGACCCCGCGACCGTGTTTCGCATGGATTCATGGCGCAAAGCGTGGATCCTGGCGCGAAACTGCCATGAATCCATGCGAATACGTTCGCGGGGGTCTGTTTCGAGGGGAATATCTCCGCCATTAGAGCACTACCTGAACTGCTGCTTCGGCAGTGCCTTAGTTAGGGCCCCAAAAGTACTTTCCATGTAAAAGCCTCATAGGTCCAGATCTGCCTGGAAGCTGCCTTTAATAAGGGGTAATTACAGTATGCCGCGGCAGACCTGCCGAGCACAAAATCGGGGGGCTCCGGAGCAGAAATTGGGAGGTATCCGGAGCAAATGGGAGGTATCCGCCGGAGAAATGGGAGGGCTCCGTTGGGCAAATGGGAGGGCTCCGCCGGACAAATGGGAGACCCACCGCTGGGGAAACGCCGCGACCCTGCCATTTCTCCGGCGGAGGGGTCCTATCCGCTGTCTGAGTAGTTTTATTGAAAAGAATAATTCCTTCGATCTCAAATATTTTCTTGTGGAGCTTTTGATGCAGGGACAAAAATGGAGAATATGACCATATAAGCTCTCAACATTTTAAGTTACCAGGTCACCAAAAATCTGGAACGCTGCAGAAAAGTGAAATAGTCATTACATGAGTTTTTTGGTCTATCATTTGCAACTGTGAAAAGTTTGTGCTGTCGTCTTTGTGAGTTGGATGTATCGAGAAAAGTGACAAATTAATTAATTTTGGCATTTTCTGTAGTGAACTGAAAAATCATAACTTTTCTCAGAGACGTCCAAACAGCACAAGCTCTTCACAGTTGCAAAGAGTAAGCCAGAAAACTCATGTATGACACTTTATGCTACTGTATTTCAGACTTCTCTGCAGCGTTCCAGATTTTTGTTGATCTAACTTAGAATGGTCGGAGTTTATATGGTCTTATCACCATTTTTATCTCTGCACTCGGTATGAAACGGAAGCTCCATAAGGAAGTATTTGAGAGCAAAGGACTTAACCTTTTTGATAAAATTATAAGCAAGCAAATCTATGAAAAAACGCAAACTTACATTTTTCTGGGAATGAAACAACAGAAATTTCGGACCGACCTTTACTGTTTTCAGCGTAGGTCCTTTGAGAATGGCATTGACAGAAGTCTCTTTATCAAAGAATGCACAGTAAAGGTCTCATATCTTGATTATTCCAGAACATCTCGCATACGAATTGAGTATGATTGCGGAATATTTGCAAATTCCGAATGAGAGAAGCATTCAGTAACTATGGAGAAATAGTTGAGTAAAACTTCAACAATTTTGCTGGTTTTGTTTGCTGATTTCCTGAACCGAGTTTATGGCATGGATATTGCATAAATACTGTTGCCTGGACTTTTTACCTACATGTGGATAGATTAGGTTGTCCGGAAATTAATGTCTGTTTTGAATTTTACCCGCAACAAGTCATAAACTTTTCATTGCTGGATAGCTTTCAAGGTACGATCGATGGAGCAAAACAAGCTCTACAAGACATCTATCTTGCTTCAACGACAGCTTTGATCCACCTCGACTTTCGAGTCAAAAACTAAAAAGATTCAACTGCTCGAAAAATCAAGAAAAATCGCAATTCAGTTCGTAAGAATTCTACAAAAATTCTAACTTACTCACGTAAACACTATCCACATAAGACATATATGTACGCTATTTCCGTATTTTTTCCTCCGTTAGAAATCGAAAAAACGAAAAATTTCATGCTTTTGCAAAAGTGATGCTGTGTCGTCCCCACATAAGTAGATGTAACTAGAAATCTGTGGAAGTAAAAACGTAAATTTTTAGCTTTTTACAAGCTTTAGTTCTCGAGAAATTTGAATTTTAGTTTGGACCACCTGACTAATGAAAGCTATATTCGATATTTCTCAAGAACTAAAGCTTGTAGAAAGCTGAAAATTTAAGTCTGTACTTCTACAGATTTGTAGTATACAACGACTTATGTGGGGACGACACAGCATCACTTTGGCAAAAGCATGAACTTTTTCGTTTTTTCGATTTCTAACAGAGGAAAAAATACGGCAATGCGTACATATATGTCTTATGTGGATAGTGTTTACGTGAGCAAGTTAGAATTTTTGCAGGATTCTTATGAACTGAGTTATGATTTTTCTCGATTTTTCGGGTAGTTGGAAACTCAGGTAGATCAGAGTCTGTTGTTAAAGCAAGATAGTTATCTTGTAGAGCTTGCTTTGCTCTATTAAATGGTACCTTGAAAGCTATTTAGGAATGAAAAGTCTATGACTTATTGCGGTTGAAATTCAAAACGGACATTAATTTCCGGACAGCCTAATAGAAACTTAGGCCAAAATTTCCAATTAGTGCTTACTAACAATGAGATCTGTTTTTTAGCGATGAGTTACTGCCAAATTCTTACATCGCATTGTTCATCATTTGTGTGGAAATGTTTATGGCAAGCAGCAATGCGTTTTTGAATGGGCTCGTGTAGTGGCTGAAACTCAAGAGTATTTCATGATTCTCCATAAAAGGAAGTTGAAGGAAAAAATTGCAATAGCTTACTTATATGGCCTTTTGAATATGCGAACACCGTAGTAAGCCGGACACAATCATACGATTTTATCCACCAATAGAGAATGCTGCGTTTTGCTACATTGTAATGCTGCGATATACAGGTTTTGAAAAGTTCTGGCTTCGAGTACTTAAATTGCGAGTTTCAGCTCGATTTTTGCTGTATGTGTTCGCTAAACTTAGTGACCACTGATTTAACAAAGAATAGTTGTGGATAGTGCTTGTGAGCGGTACTCCAAGATTGTTAC